GAAAAACGAAAAAGAAAAAAAAAGGAGAGTCGGCCAGGCGGGCTTGGCCTGGTCCTACCCTGGGGCCGTGGTGGCTCAACCCTAGCGCAGTCCTCAAGCTACTTTTGTAGACCAAGCACTAACTTTTTAAAGTTGGGCTAGCCAGGCCGGGCCACCCGGCCTATTGCCACCCTTAAATAAGTGTAAGATGTCTTGAAATGACATCCAAAACATATCCTATTAAATGAGCGTGAGTGATATATAAAACATAGAAAGATGAAATTTTGGTGTATCCCAAAGGTCTAAACATAGTTATCAAGACTTGACCAGATCGGCAGCCTGACCGATCTGACTATAGATTAATGGCTTGATCGTTTTGGTCCAAAGTAAAAATCAAATTTGGGAAAATATAGGTTTTGGCCAGTCCAGTCGACCGGTTCAACATGCCAAATAAAATCGGGTAATTTTTTATAAAAAATTTTATTTTTTTAAGTTATTATTCATATATATTACATATTTTTGTAAGATCCAGTCTAACCACCTAGGATCAACAATCTCCAATATATCTTCAGTCCATAAGTTATTATTATATATAGCTTCTCTTGCACGGCTCATTGCATCAAACAGAAACCCCATTGTGCGTTTTTCAACAGAGTCACTTAACCTCAACACCCGTACTAGAGGCTCAGTTACAGAAACAACATAGGTACATCGAGCCCAAAACCTCCGATCGAGAAGGGTGGTTTCAACTTGCCTTCCAAGTTGACTCATTGCTGCCTTATTAGTCTGTTATTCATTAGAGCATATCATTGACCTCAATCCTGCCTTGTTAATCAATATCGATTGTATCATAAGGAACGCTGTAGCGAATCTAATAGTGGACTCCCTGACAATCTCTCCCAAGCAATGCTCCCTCATCAAAGCATGAAGATACGTGTAATTGTATATAAATCTTGTAATCAACTTGCTATTCAAAATACAAATTTTAACCCTTTTCAACTTCTCTATTTCCTTGAGCATCAAATTAACACAATGGGCAGCACAAGAAGCCCAATAAAGATTGGGTCTTCTCTCCATTAGCAACAAGTCTGTTTTTCTGTAATTCGCAGCATTATCACTCACTACTTTGACCACATTTTCAAGCCCAACCTCATCTACAATTTTGTCCAGATATGCGCATATCAATCTCCCAGTAGGTCTCTTTCTTGATAAATTACTGTTAGAGTGGTAAACAATGCTCTTAAGGTAAACTATTAAAAAATCGACATTATACCTATGAGACTTGTCCTTTCAACCGTCAGTCATGATGGTCACTCCTGTACCTGGCCAACAGACCTTGAACTGTGCAATATGCTTATCAACATCATGAATAACAACTTCTAAACACGGCCCTGCAAGTTCCTTCGCAGTTTGACCTCTAACACCCAACCCTGCCTCAGCTATAGAAGCTACCATATGTGGGTAGAAGTCTGAGCTTGTAGAATTAAATGATAATAGATTAGCATACAAGAACATGCTAATCATCTTTCTTGTTTTTTTTATTAATACACCTAATGACGAAAATTTTAATTGTTTTTTATGATATTGTGACTTGTGGGGATCAAGTCCAGAGGGTGTGCGGGTCACTGATGACACATCTATGGGTTCATGTCATTGAGTAGTAGATGGCCGACAATAAGAGGATGGGTGACTAGAAAAACTACGTCTCAATCTACTAGATGTGGATCTAAGCAATGAAGGCCCACATCCACCCCTACTCGGTACTACATGTTCTTGAGGTTGACGGCTACTAGATGCACCATCCCTTCTCCCATACATCTCTTGAATTTCCATTTTTCTATAATTAAGCTATTGAATACTGGCAATCCTAGCTCGTTCCATTTGCGCCTCGAATTCTGCCTTTTGGTCATCTTCCTCATCTATTGGACTTACGTACCTCCTCTGCATCCCTTTCTCTCTGAACTTTTTTTCCTTTTCCTTCTGTAATTAATTTTAGCATTTGTTGTTTTACTTCTGGTGGTACTTCTTTACAACCAGTGATATTACCTTTTACCCAAACAAGATGTACTTTTAGGCGATAAATACCACCACCAATTTCTTTGCTACAAATATTACATCGAACTCTTCCTTTGTCATTTACTTTTGTATCATACTGCCATGTCACATCTCCCCTTCTCATCTTATTATTTTCTTGTAAATTTTCTTGGACATAAAAGTTCATTAAAAGAATATTTATTTGGGAAAATCACTCTACCAAGGGGACATTGTAAGCATGGATATTTAAGCCTTACTTTCTCATGAAAATGAACAAGTTGCAATAACATCCAATAGAAAAAATAATTATAATTAAGATGACCATGAATCTCCATGTCATTCAATTAATATTTCTCAATAAAAAACATGCATGTGTGCCTCTAGACCATGAAAGCTGAAAAAGTCATGCATGAGGGGCATGCATTAAGAAATGTGGTCCTTTTAAACCGAGATTGAAGTGATTTTCCTAGTTATTGGAGAAGCATGGGGTAATACTAAGAAATATATTTTCTAGAGGGCTAAGGTCAAGTAAATCTTTCAATAGGGAATATGAACAAAAAAAGTATCCAAACCTTTCCCAAAGTACATGTTACACCATGAAATTGAATAAGAGCTGCAACCTATTAAACAACAAGTAATCCATATAAAGATACCTCCATTCTTGATGAGCAGTTTGCATTTTATGTGATAGTGACCCTTGCCATGAATATATATTCAAAGTAAAAAGTATTTCTCAAAAATTTCTAAATGGATGCATCAGAAGGGAAAAATACATCCACTTTTCAAAAGTAGAATTTAATACACTCCTTGCCATAAGTTTAAACTATAAATCATGCATTGCTCCAAGGAGTTCTACAAGCTAGTATAATAGATCAATTCTGTATGTTGATCAAAACTGAAGATCTGATAAGACATGCTGAGAAGATATGCTGCTAAAACTAAAACCTCTATAAAAATAGGCTTTAAACACAATTAAAGTTGAACAACTAAATATATCTAGTTTTCATAATATTGCTGCATACATAAAGATATACAATCTTAATTGCTGCATACATAAAGATATAAAATCTTAAGGCTTTATGACACAATTGCATAATGAAGTATAGCCAACAGGTAATCCGATACTTAAAGAATACTTGGAATACTGAGTGTTTTTAGAATCAAAATGACTCTACAAAATCAAATCATTCATAAAAAAATGTCTCCCTAAAATTTAAAGAATATTTGGAATAAATTTTTTTTTTTATTGAATATATATATATATATATATATATATATATTCTCATATTCATCAATAAAAACATATTTTTATAAATATATATATTATATGACATTAAAAACAACCCTCGCAAAAAAAATATCAATTTTATTTTTCATTCAATAACCCTAAAATCCCGAAAATCCCTAAAACCTCAAAAGTCCCCAAAATCGACCTCCAAATTTTTGTTTTTGTTCTAAAATTTCACACAAATATTGTTTGAATAATTATAAAAAACGTTGAAAAATGAGGAAACAAATTAAAAAATCGTGGATTGGAACTGACATTCTTTGATTCAAACTTGCAATGCAGCCCCAAATCTCTCTGTTTGAATGAAACCATCACTCTAGAAATGTAGATATCTCTTTGATGATTAAAATCCCCCAATTTGTATAAAAAAAAAATGAAAAACAACCCCAAAATCATTAGTATGGCGGATTTTTGGTTGAAAAATGAAGAACACACAAAAATGCCAAAAATATCCATTTTTTTATTCAATCATCTTGATTTATAAAACATTTACAGTGTATACGGTCAATTATTGACCAAAAGAAAAAAAAAAACGCTGAAAAAAGAATAAAAAAGACCTACATAAAGGGGATCACAGGCTCTGTTTAATATAACGGCTTCCGTAAAATATAGCGGTCGTTATATACACAATACCGTTATATCGGTTATATATATGGTTAACCGAACCTCTTTTGAAAAACCGGCCAGGTTTTTGGAAAAATCACCGGTTAGGCAATAAACCGGTCAGTTTTGGACTCTTTTTTTTTTGGAGAATATTATCTCATGATGTGTACTTTAAAACCGTACCAAACCGGAATTGCCACCCCACTGATAGCGAGCTAACCAGTCGGTTCCGGTTCGAACCAGCCGATGTTGCGAACACTGAATTCAGTGTCACGCCCACCTTACTTTGATTGTTAACGGCCTCAACTGTATACGAACCGTACCCTTAGTTAATTTTATTTTCCTAGAAGGGCACAAAATTCATTTCCCCAATTAGATAAAAGGTGTGGTTTGTGTAAGGTTGCAGCCCTAAACAATCAAATTACGGTGCACCTCCATTGTTTATCGTAAATATAATTTTGATGTTAAAATTTCTTAGGATGGCTTGAGAATTTATATTCATCTCTAATTATAAAATCTTAAACTTAAAAAATTGTTCAAATCAAGTACATCTATAAGCACATCAAAATTTTGAAAATAGACGGTCCAGATAATGCGTTACAAAATACTCTATTTTTAGGATTCGATTTTTTTTTACCTTTTCATATTCATATATTTCAATGTTGAGCTGATCAATTAGAGAGCTTTTTTCGAAACAGCCTTTTACAACCGATTTTTTATTTTTGATGTGCACCTTCATTCTACATTTGAAAGTTGCTTCTTCCATAGTGGACCCTTCTTGTTTAAGGCTCTAAACAACATCAAAAGGCATTGGCACATGACCCTTGTAATTTTACGGCTTTAAAGAAGCTTAAAACCCTAATTCCATGGAGTCAAACAATCTACGAGCCTCTAATTCTCTCTCCTCAATTTTCTCTCTCTAGCTTCTCTCCCATCCTATAGTAGTAGTTGTGATAGGTAACCTGTAACCGTCGTCCCCCATCCCCAGTTTTTACTCTCCTTCATGTGGCCCCCCAGCTTTCTCTCTCTAAACCATCATTTGCCTTACTCTTGCCCTTATTCCTCTCACCCATTCGAAGTAATCTTACCCATTTTCTCACTCTAAACCTATCTTTTGCACTAAAGAAAGGTGACGTGGGTCCTGGTGTTTCATGGGCCTGCAACCACCTCAAATAGCCCAAAATCAGACACACAAGAACCCCACCTTGTTTCTCTCTCTAGAACGTTTCTCTCTCTAGAATGGCGTGTGGGTTAACGATTGAGTGTTCAATCCCTAATTCCCCGAAATTTCGTGCACCCCATGTTTGTTGAACTGCATTTCCTGCTCAGATGAGTTTGAATGACATTTTCTCTATGTTTTTTAAATGTATAAACGTATCCATTAAAGCATAATCATGCATCTTTTGCTCTCTTCAAGGGGTTAATCCGTTTCTTAAGTACTTTTCCGTCTGCGTTTAATGGGTTGATTTACAAGCGAGAATGTCGGCTTCCATTTTGAAAACATTCACAAGAGGTTGGCATCTTGATTTGTTTTTGCATACTTTTCTTATGAAATTATTGTTGCGGTGATCTAGAGAGAGAGAGAGAGCTGATTTAACTCTTTGCATTGTTCATTGTATATATATTGCTTGGGTAATGTTCTCTTACATGGGTTTCTTTCATTTAGGGATGAAAGCTTAGAGAGACTGAAAAAATGGCAATGGCAAACAGGGTTGGCCTGGTTAACTTGTTGGGGCTTGTAGAGACTGAGAATTTTAGGGAGAGAAAGTGCAACTATGTGTTGAGATGTGAGAAGAGAGAGGTTAGAGGAGTGAGAAATGTGAATAGGGTGAATGGGAGAGAATCAGCTGTTCTTGAAGCTGAGAAGGCCAAATTTCTGAGCAATGGCTTGGATTGGCCGGGTTCGACTTCTACTATGTTGGCCTCGAAGCTCGGGAGGTTTGTGGAGAAGCAACTGGTTTATAGGCAAACCTTTGTTATAAGGTCTTATGAGGTTGGGCCGGATAAGACTGCATCCATGGAGACCCTCATGAACCTTCTCCAGGTTGATCTCTCTCTCTCTC